ATAAAAAAAATTCACGTTTATTCTCTGTTTTCGAATTCAATCGCATTGGAATGTTCACATCACCTAAGTAGACATTGGATCCGAGGAAAAATTTAGACAGCATTGGGCGAAAAAAAGTCATCAATTGTCATCGGTCACACAAAGGTTTCTTTGTTTTATTGAATTCCATTCTAATTTTGTGGAACAAAAACTAATATATTTTTTTCATATTCATCTCCAGAGAGCAAACCAAAAACAAAAACACCAAAGTCGCCCATTACGAAATACAATGTGTGTGATGTCAAAAAATGAACGAGACTAAAGACGCAAGTGGAACATTACCAAACGACAGTCTATCGTCAATATGGGATCGTACAAAATGTTCACAAACGGTTGATGGCAATTCTCCGCGTATTTTCAAATTGAATGTCGATTGTTTGGAGGAGATCTGTCACTATCTAACCATACGCGATTTATTGACACTCGGTCAAACGTGTAGATTAATGCAACAAGTGACTGGTGAATATTTCAAAGAGAATTACACAGAGGCCAGTAAATTTGGCGGTTGTTATGGAATCTATCGTGTATTTTGCAGTGATGGAACCGAACGTCCGGAAACATCTGGTTTCAATAAATTCGTTCGATACATATCCCATCGATCCAATGACCTTGCACCGTTGCGTTACATTGAATCGAATGCACCAAAGTTTATATCGGCCAAGCATCTCTTCTTAAACGGTATTCATCTGATATCGGGTCGTCTTCGTTGTCTCCAAACGATTTTAAATCAAATGGAAATCATTCAAATCATTCAATGTTCGATGCAATTCGATTTTTACGAATCGTTTCTAAAGTATTGCGGTAATTTAAAGCGGCTATACATTCAAAACGACTTAGGTGACATAATAAAACGTAATGAAAACGATTGGCTCCAAAAGACCTATGCAAAGCTTGAGCATTTGGAATTTGATGGTATGAAAGTGCGAACGTTTGACGTGAGTGAATTGGAGCGTTTCTTTCAATTAAATCCAAATGTCAATAGTTTTACAACGAATGTCACATTTTTGATGGAAAATCAAGACAAATTTCTGGCGAGTAACATTCGACTTGACACATTTGGCGTGAAGATTCATCGACAATCGTTTCGCTTTCGAATGGTTGATTTACAATTGAACACAATGACTATGACCTTTCAATTATTGAATCAACTCTACGAGCGTGGTTTTTTCAAGCAGCTACATTTACACGTAACATACATCGATGCTGAATATACAAATGCAATGATGTCATTGTACGGGCTGGAGAAATTGTGCATCAATCGAATCATTCGTAATTCAACATTCAATTTGCATCGCGTGAATACATTAAAAGAATTGGCAATTTTTGATATACTACCCACATTTGATGTAGACGTATTGGCACAAGAACTCACCAGATTGGAAAGTCTTTACATTTGCCGTGCAACATATGGTGATATTTTGGCATTCACAAGATATGCCACCAAATTGAATCGCATCATTTTAAAGGACACACTCAATTTGGACGCGAAGCGCATTAAAGTGGTGACATTGAATGAGGAACGAAAAAAATTGAAAAATGCACGAAAACTAACGATTTATCTACCGGATGATGTATTTATAGCGAGCAAATGGGCCACCGTTAACGGCGAAACTGATTTGAAATTTGTTAAAATTCAACGATCCGATTCGTACCGCTGGGACCACTATTATCAGTGACACGATGACGATGATCGGATTTCGAACACGAAAACAACAGTCGAGAAAAACAAACAAAGGGAACACTTGAAAGAAACAAAACAATGGAAAAATAACCGAAAATAACAAAAACATGAATGCAAAATTTAAAATACACAAATATTACCAAAAATAGAACGAACACCCAGGGGAATGACATTGCTAATGATTTATTTCGGTACTAGAAGTGCCATGAACTTTTCATATGAACGACTGAAAAATACGTTATCCACTGATGGTTGAACATAAAAACAATAATAAAGTAACACAAGGGAAAAACATGTTAGA